GCCAGTTACCTCACCTACCTGGCAGGATTCCAGGTGACCAACGGCACACCTGAATGGACATTCCTTGCATAGTTGGGGCACAGACAGTCCCTTTGCCTTCCCACGTGTCTAGATGGGTATAAAACTCCTCCACACGTATCTCAGATACCCCTTTTCGCTTCCCTCTTCCTTCCCCTCTGCGCGAAGGTGGCCCAGGAGCGGAATTTGCAATAAAGCTTCCATCTCAACTCTGAACAACTTGCCGATATTATTCCACCAGCGGGTGGGCGGGCGGTGGCCATCATCTAACATTATTGAGATTTTAGCTGGAAATGTTTCCATTGCACAAGTGCATGAGTTTGAAATGTGAGACAAGCATGGTCCTGAGTTATGATAACGCATCATTCCTGCTTGGAGAAATTGGGGACAAAAAATTCACTTGTTAAACAAAAATTTACTCTAAATTTTCTTTTGGAATTGAAATAAACAAATAGCTGAATGTTCTCGCTACAACATGCTAACAAAGATGCTGGACAAGAACTATAATTTTTAAATTGTTCTCAAAAGTGAAAGATGAAATCCATTAGCACTCAACTGACACCACAGTCATGCTTTGAAGTGACATGACTTTAACCAGATGTAGAAGATATACCCACTCAACAAACAGGATTTAGTCAGTGCCTTGTAGCATCACAAAGACTAGAAAATAATTTTATGGTGTGTATTTTGCCAAGAGTCTAAGTAACTTGATTCATGACTATTATTAATAGGGCTATGCTTTGGAGTTGGTGCTATAGTGCTGGTAGTTAAGGTATAACTTATTATGACAAAAGTTAATATTGAAGCACAGGTTCATTCCTCTGCTGCTCTACTTCCAAGCCAGATTCCTGCTAATGAGTTTGGGAGAGCAATAGATGATGGCCCAAGTGCTTCTTGCTAGACCAGGGTGAATTTCCTGCCCCCTAACTTTAGCTTAGCCCCACGTTGGCTATTGTGGTCAATAGGAAGGTAAGTAGCGGGTGAAAGATTTCATCTTCCTCTGTCTAGCCTCTCTGTGTCACTCTACTTTTTTAATAAATAAGTGTACACATACATACCTACACACAGTTCTGTTTTGACAGCACCAATCCCATGTTCAGTTTTTTGTGCTAACATAGGCTATAAATCAGGCAAATGTGACTAACTAATAGCAAAGAAATCTTGTATTTCACTCTAAGTAAGAGCAACACTGGCAATTCTGTATTTGAGTGGAGGTGGAGGTTATCCTTCCAAACCTGACATTTGGAAGTTAAGATACCATAATTTTTGAGAAATAAATACTAATGCCTTTCAGCTGCCATTTATGACATATCTCACTGTGACTTCACTCCCTGTCAGAGTGCACAAGCATGTGTCACCAGAGGTTCTTACTAGAGTGGAAAGCCTGTGCTTCACTCTGCTGTCTTAAAAGGCTCTGAAACCATCAAGCCCCACATTGAAGGAGCGTACATGTTGAACCATTGGAAAAAGTCCTGCCCTGGATGCACAGACTTTGCTACATGATGAAGAGTCTGTATTCAAATAATACTACCTACTTTTCTCATTCTTTTCATATGGTATTTTTTTTCTGATTTGAAGTGCATTGTAAGAAACTAGTTAATTAGGGAACACTCATTGCTTCACTTTGCTTGCCATCTGGTAAAAGGTATAATGACCAAACTCTCAAAAATTTTCAATTCTGGTGATTAAAATTGTCCCTAGCATTGGGAGAACCAGGGAAAGTTGGCTTGTTCAGCATTGCAAATGGCAGAAATTACCTTTACCAATTTTTAGCTCCATTAAGCTATAACATGGTCCAAAAAAAAATGAAAATTGGAGCTCAGCATCCAAACACCAATGTTTCTAAATAATGCCCAAAGAGCTTCCAAAATTGTAAATAGTTACTATTGCTAGGTGGTCAGCCTGGCTTAGCTCCATAACCAAAAAATACATAGATTTCAATGGGAACTTTAAGGAAGCTCTTCTTAAACAAGTGTCATTGTGCAAATAGTGCTGGAGTCTTGAAAGGCAACAACTTGGTGTAGTAATTACAATACCAGTTAGAACACCCACATAAATATTGCAGTGCCTGAGTTCATATCCTATCTCCACCTTAGATCCCAGCTTCCTGTTAATGCATATCCAGGAAGATGGCAGGTAATCGCTCAAGTGGTTATGTCCCTGCTATCATGTGGGAGGCCTAGATTAAGTTCCTGGTTCCCATTTTGGGCTTGACCCAATCACACATTCTATGCACAGAATGAGTCAAGCAGTGACAGATCTTTCCATATCATTTCTGTGACTGGATATTTTGAGAAGTGCCAGAGGCCAGCTCCAGCTGAGTTCGGAGCTTGAGAAGGATGTTTGGCATCAGCAAAAACAAACAAACAAAAAAAAAAGACACAGACACTGTCACCTGGTGCCCTCTTGTAACAGTTCAAAAAGCTGTCCTTTTTATTTACTCAGACACATCACAAGCCTCTGCACAATCATTTGATTGTTCTATTTTACCTCATGACTAAGTGGGTATTCACAGATGTTTGATTATTTTTTTTTTACTTCATGGTCAACCAGGTGCTCTTAAAAATAATTCTGTAAGTTATCACAATCATTTTCTTCAAAGCAAGCCATTATTCATTCTTCAGTAGTAGCTATTGGGTGACAGCCAGAATTCTAAGACCAAGGCACATGAAGTTACCTAATAACCAGTAATACATTCCTACTACATTTCTATTTCCATAGCTTGCCCATCATTTAATGGGAGAAATATGTTACAAGGGAAAAAACAAAACTCCAAGACAAAAGTTTCAAATATTAAATCCCTCTTTACTTTACAGGCTCTATAACCCCATAAACAATCAAATAATACTTAAAAGCATATCTCCTTAATATTAATAAAAGCATCCTTTAATTCTTCTAGCCAAAAATTATACCAGAGGCTAAAACAGCTACATTTCCCATGCTCCAAAGAAATTGCAAAAACAGGATCACATTTAAGGTCATACTCCCATCACTTTCACCAATATTTAGGATATTTATCAAGCCCTTTCCCAGCAGGTGTACTACATGTCTGGGCCAGATTCTGAGGCAATGGTTAGGTACACAATAAGGTGTCCAAAAATGGTATTGACTTAGTTGTACTCCTGCGTGTAGTTAATGGCCCACTCACCAGGACATTATCAATAACATTAACTCCCAAGCTCACATCAGTTACAAAAGCTGTATCACAGGGCCAAACAACAATGCCTCAATAGATTACAAAATTCTTAGTGGGGTGGTTGAATGTCCATGCAAAAAGGGGTGACACTGCGTCAAAGTGGTCAGAGAGATATTTGCCAGGCCTTAATAAAAGGCTGGAAACTCCCCTGCACCCTGCCAAACAGCGGAGCTGTTTTTTTCACAGCTTCATGTCATCCACACCTACTGCACAGACCCAAGTAGAGAAGCAAGCTGAGTGTTTTTCTGAATTCTTCTACTGTGTCAGTTCTTTACGTTTCTCAGTGTGGAGTTTTCTAAGTCCTTTCAATCATCTGAGCCTACCTTTTTTTCTTTGTTTCCTGAAATTTAATTCGTTTATTTTTAACAGTTAAAGAGACATAGCCAGCAACACAGAACGAGCTCTTCCATCAACTACTTCACTTTGAAATACAACAACAACCATTGTCCTCTGGCCTATCAAGTTTCCTGTGAGAGGTCTCCTGTGAGTTTAATTGACATTCCTTTATATGTCAGTTGTTTTTTTTTTTTTTCTCACATGCTCATTTAAGGATCTTTTCCTTATGTTCAATTGAAGAGAGCTTGATGACCATGTGTCATGGTGAAGTTGCCTTTGATCAAGCCTGTTGGGAGTTCTGTGGCCCTCCTGGATGTTGTTTCCCACTTCTTTCTCTAGATGAGGAAAATTGTCCCTCATTATTTCATTAAATACATTTGTAAACCCAGTTTCTCTTTCTGTATCTTTTAGGACTCCCATAACTCTTATGTCTGGCCTTTTCATAGTGTCTTTCAATTCTTGAATACTTTTTATGGCCAGATCCAGCTCTGCTTCCAGCTTTTTGTTTGCTTCCCCCTGGTGACAGAAAATATCTTGTAATTTTGAGATTCTTTTCCTGCCTCCTTCATTCAATTTTGGAGACTGTACTTTTAATTTGCTCTACTCTATTCTTCATTTCTGATATATCAGATTTCATTTGATTCATTTCCAGTGTGGCATATTCCTTAAATTCTTTGAAGGCTTGTTTTACATGCTTCTCATTGTTGTTGATAAGAAGTTTTATAACAAATGTTTTAAATTCTGTTTCCCCATTTTCTTGATGTCTTCCTCAGTTAACTCTGAGGTTGGCAAAGGGTTTTGCTCCTTTGCAGGAAGTCTTTTGTGATATCAGTTGTGTCTTTGTGTCTTCTTTTGCTCTTGGCCATTGTACTTCTGGTAATCAGATTCTTCCCCTTGGGGCAGGTTTCTAAGCTGTGTCACCCACTGGTCTACAGTTTGATTTGATTATTGCCATTGATACATGGCTCTTTGCTTGCAGCCAATTGTGTGGCTCCCTCCAGGAAGTTTCAGGTCTGGGTTCTTACATTTAATTTCCACCATGATCTCCATAGTCCCAACTCCTGGCTATCCCACCTCCTGTGATACCATACTGAGGCTGCACTGTTGTCTGTACAACCTTTCTCCCACTTCTGGTTGGAGTAGGTCTCAGAATTAGAGAGACACCAGGCATTCTATATAGCTAGGTTGTTGGTGGTGCTGATGTTGTCGGAACCTGTTGGCCATTAGGTCTGAGGTCACATGGAACTATTTTGAGCCATACAATGCCATAATCAGTATTATTTTCATGTGGGACCTCTGCAATGCACTGAGCTCTGTGAGTTGTCACTGAGCTCAGTGCATGCACCTCTCACTATTGCCCCCTGCAGTCTTAAACTTTTGCCACACTGAACAAGATGGCGCCTGATGTGCCACTACTAGAGATCTTAACCCACTGGCCATCAGGTCTCAGGACTACCCAGACCTATCTTAGGTGGAACCTGTAGGATGCTTCATTGTTGCAGTTTGCTCAGCCAGTTATTAGTTTACTGCCAGCTCAGTGCATGCACAGCAGTGTCCATGGCCCTTGCCTTTTAAACAAAATGGCACCCAATACAGCTCTAGGAAGCATATTTGGTTGTGAAATCCACCCTGTTCCCGTACTGCCCATCTGGAATGTGTTGCTCTGTCTCTGCTCCTGGTCAGATCAAACAGACCTGCAGGAGGATGGGCAGTTCTTTCTCTGGGTTCACCACCTAAACTCCTCCCAGTAACTGTTCCTTCCCACCTGGTTGCTGGTGGAATTCTGGCTGTCAGTACAATTCAGATCACCACTTGCTGTATGCTCCTGAGATATCAGTCACTGCAACACCACACTGTTATATCCACTGATTTCCTGTGTATTAGTCTCCAAGTACTCCTTTACTGTTGTTCTGCCCTCTCCTATTTCCTAGAAAGTGTCCTCTTTGCTTCACACTGGCTAATATTTCTCCATCTATTTAAGTGTGTACCTACCCATCTTGATTCTCTTTTATGCCATTTATATTTTTAAGGCATTTTCTATCTAAAATATTTGGCCCACATGACTGGGATTTGCTACTAAGGAGATCATAGTTCAAGAACAATTTTTTTGTATTTTTTAAGCATTTTTTTTTTACTAGAAAGTCAGATATACAAAGAGAAGAGACAGAAAGGAAGATCTTCCATCCAATGAGTCACTCTCTAAGTGGCTGCAATGGTCGACATTGTACCAATCCAAAGCCAGGGGCTAAGGGTCTCTTCCACGTCTCCCACGTGGTGCAGGATCCCAAAGCTTTGGACCATTCTCCACTGCTTTCCCAGGCCACAAGCAGGGAGCTGGATGGTAAGCGGGGCCACCAGAGTTAGAACCAGTGCCAGTATGGAATTCTGGCTTGTGCAAAGAAAGGACTTCAGCCAGTAAGCTACTCTGTCAGGCCCCAATTTTGTTTATCTAATCTTCATTTAAGATCCGGTATTTTCAAACAAGATACAAACTCCTCTGGAGGTAAATGTCTTACATTACAGACAACTGGTAACTGGACCAGTTGTTAGAAATAGATGTTTATGGAGGTAACAATATGGAAATAATAGTCTTATCCACTTCCCTATAGCCCTTGAACCTTTTTACCCTAATTAACTATGTAAAGATTGTCAAAAATATAATAAATAAAAAATAAAAAAGAAATAGATGTTTAGATTCTCTACTCAGCAATTTTGATTCAGTATATACAACGTTTGAACTTACATATTTACTATAAGAACATTAGCACTTTTGAAATTCCTCATGTGTTTTTTTACTGTGTATTATAAAATATAGAAAATTTTAATATAATATGTTTTATTTTAGTTTTAGTGTCTACAATGATGGAGTCAGATGACCACCAATGATCAAGGTGTTTTGAATGAGTTCTTTCTTTAAGAAGATAAATATAGGGGACAGAGCTGTAGTACAGTGGATTGAGGCACCGTCTTCTTCAATGACACCCCATATGCAACAGCTGTTCAAGTTTCAGCTGGCTCTGTATTTAAGGGGATGTATAATAGAACTGTAACAGGGACTGACATGTCCTGATATGGAGGCATAGTGCAGTGTCCCCTTCTGCATCCAGACCAAAGATGGACTCCCGATGAAACTGTGTACTATATCCTAACAGTAGAATGCTGCATTCTCTGACATTATCCATTCCTACAATGTCAGAAAACACTTCAATAGTACAATTATGGACTTATGACTGTTCATGAAGGACTACTCATTATAATACTACAGTGCGAGCCAGTGTAGTAGCTAAATCCTTGCCCTACAAGCAGCAGGATCCCATATGGGTAATGGTTCTAATCCCCTATGACCCTACTTCCCATCCAGCTCCCTGCTTGTGGCTGGGGAAAGTAGTTGAGGATGGCCCAAAGCCTTGGGACCCTGCATCCAAGTGGGAGACCCAGACAAAGCTCCTGACTTCTGGTTTCAGAGCGACTCAGCTCTGGCAGTTGTGGTCACCAGGGGAGTGAATCATTGGTTGGAAGATCTTCCTCTCTGTCTCTCATTTTTTCTGTATATCTGCCTTTCAAATAAAAAATAAGTAAATAAATAAATAAATAAATAAATAAATAAATAAATAAATAAATAAACTAGAGGGGAAATAAGTAGAGCAGAGATAGGACTTGGTGAGTGGAAAGGGAAATACCAGTCTATGGACCTGTATCGTAAAATAATGATGATCATGAGGAGGAGGAACTGTGCCTAAAAATTTGACATTCTATGAAAATTTGCATCTTACTTTGTGTTTTTAAATTTTAGGAAAATTCTGGGCCCTATACCATAGCTTAGTTGTTACAGTCCTCGCCTAGAAACACCTGGAATCCCATATGATTGCTGGTTTGTGTACTGGCTGCTCCAATTCCCATCCAGCCTGTGGCCTAGGAAAGCAGTAGAGGATGGCCCAAATCTTTGGGACTCTGCACCCATATGGGAGACCTTGAAGAGGTGCCTGGCTCCTGGTTTTGGATTGGCTTGGCTCTGGCAGCCACTTGGGAAGTGAACCAGCGATGGAAGGTCTTTCTCTCTGTCACTCCTTCTCTCTGTAAGTCCCTATTACTTTCCAATAAAAAATAAATACACCTTTTAAAAACTTTATGAAAATTCAAAATTTGCAAAAATCTTTATTTCCTTTCCACCCTAAAAACATGAGATGAGTTTTTCCTTAGAAAAATTTTGAAACTTTTGAAACAGTTTCATTAAGGTTTTACCAGAGGTCAAATATTAGAATATGCATGAACATGTTGAATTTTATGAGAAATTACATCTAGTTTATTAAACTTTTCAGAAATTTCAAAGTTTATGAAAAATTACTTCCATTTTATTCTATGAGTGTGGGAGACAAAGCTGAAGAAAGCTTTCATAAAATTTCAGAATTCTTACAAGAATTTTTAGTGTTTGTAAAAGTTTCATTAATATTTTACCAAAGGTCAAAAAAAATTGAAGTGTGGGTAGAATTTTGACATTTTATGAAAATGTATGCCCAATTTATTTTTAATTTTAGGATATTTCAAAATTCAAGAAAAATCTACTTCCTTTCTATCCTATAAACTTGGAAGGCAAAGGTTAATAAAAATTTATAAAATCATATAGTAAAGTTTTTAAACTTATGGAAGGTTTCAATAAGTCTTTACCAGAGCTCAAAATTGAAGCATGCTGAAAAATGTTGAACTTTTATGAAAATCTAAAGCCAATTTTATTATTTCACATTTTAAGAAATTTTGAAATTCATGCAAAAATCTACCTCTCTTCTATTCTGAAAACATGGCAGATAAAATTTTTAAAAATAAAAATGAACCCATTACAACAGTTTCATTAAGCTAAGAGAACTTTAAAACGTTGAAGTATGCCTAAAATTTTGTCATTGTATAAAAATTTAAGTCCAATTGTAGTTGACTAAAGTTAGAAAATGTCTGTGCTTCTTTCCCATAAACATATCAAAGGCTAATGAAATATTCTTTTTTCTTTCTTTTCTTTTTTTTATTAATTACATTGCATTATGTGACACAGTTTCATAGGCTCTGGGATTCCCCCAACCCCTCCCCATGTCCTCCCTCCATGATGGATTACTCCACCTTGTTGTAGTATTACAGGTCAAATTAAGTCAAGATTCTTTCTTTGCAAACATATACCAAGCATAGAGTCCAGCATCTTATTGTCCAGATAAATTCAACAGTTTCTTGGGAAGACTATCTCTGGTCTGAAGGTAGAGTTGACAGAACATCATCCCCATCAATTGAAAACCCCAGCACCACATCAACAATTTACAATATTGTGGAATTAATTGACATGGTATTTATTAATCAATATGTTAAAATCATGCAAATTCTTAGCCACATCCTGTGACTACTTCATTGACATTCCATTTTTTGCTTATACACAAACCCAGCTGCTATATACCTTAAAGTGGCTATAGGGTGGCTATATTCAGCTGTCTAGTGTCTATTTTCATTTTAGTATTTAGCAGTTTATAGTGTTGAAGCATAATTTTGCTAAACTTGGCAGATTTTTGGATAGTCTAAACTGGCTTACAAATCTAACAAGGCATTTGCCAACAGAACAGTTTTAGGAGGGGTGTGCAGAGAAATCTTTAATACTCTAGTGAGGAATAACTAATCTTTGTGTCCTACCTAGTAAGATATATGTGGATCCATGCTGACTGTTTCCTGTCTGGTTCTATGCTTTCCTTGCATTTCTCTGTCTGTCTATTCTAATTTTTTTTTTGAGGGTGGGTTCTGGAGCAACCCTGATGGTCATTGCAAGAGAGGGTGGGGATCCAAAGCTGGTACTAAGGCTGTTGTTCGATGATCTTGGATCATGTGAGGAAGGATTTGAGCTTCTTACATCGCATGTGGTAGATCCAAATTTAGCTGGGTGACCTCAGAGCTCTCAGCATCTGAAGGCCCTCCAATTCCACATGTTCTCCTTGGCTATTAGGATGTAGTCCTTGGTGCCCGTACTGATAGTCCATAGTGAGGATCTGAGAGTCTTCAGGGTTGGGATACAAGCTTCCTCCTCTCTAATACTCCACTCTGGGGTTCCCTCCTGCTCTGTGCATATGACGTCCTGTTAATAGGTTGTCAGGATCGCTCTTGATTCCCCCTATATGACTTTGTAGTTTTATTATTGTCTAATACTGATTCGAGTCTGTTGTTTATGAGTTACTTGTTATGTTCCCGATAGGTTACCCTTCACGTGTTCCTCACTCCTTCTAAGGAGATCAAAGATTTCTCTGCTCTCCCACCCCCTTTGCGAGTAGCTTAGGGTCTTAAAAGTATATTGGGTTTTACAATCCTTTGATGTAGATCATAAGCAGTTTGAGTCACATTGATTGATGGTTCATTGAGTACTTCACAATATCTTATTGCATTAGATACAGGCTGTTTGAGGTTGAAATAATATTACAATTTGCAGGTACTATTTTGAGGATTGACATCATTTCATCTTCAATTAAGGCAAACATGTGGTATTTAACCTTTTGGGATTGGCTCATTTTTCTTAGCATAATGGATTCCAGTTGGGCCCATTTGGCCACAAAAAACTGCATTTCGTTTTCTTTAATGGCTGAGTAGCATTCCATGGAGTAGATGAACCATAGCTTTCTTATCCAGTCTTCTGTTAATGGGCATTTTGGTTGCTTCCAAGTCTTTGCAATTATTGATTGTGCTGCTATAAACATAGGAGTGCATGTTG